GCCAGGGGAGCCAAACATCCGGAACAGGAGCCAGCCCCCTGCCCACAATCCGCCCCTGCACCCTGACGTGCAGAGAGACAGAAAGCAAGAGCAGGGGGCTGCTCTCCGTCGCGCCAAGGATCGGGCCAAGCTAACCCTTTGCACCTTTGGTCTGGGTGCGTCACCCCCTTGCAGGCCAAAAGGAGACGCCTCTCCCAGCTCGCTGCTGGGAGAACAGACAGCTCCCCGGGACCATGCGATCACCCTGCGGAGCTGGAGTAGGTGGCAGCCGAGCCTCCTCCCCACAGGGCGGGTCTGGAACTCTGCACCTGGCCCCAGCGGAGGGCACAGCTCCGACTCCAGGTTTATTAGGCTCCCCTGGGCAACACCTAAAACAAAGCAGCAGTCCCCGTGGAGCGTGCTCAGCGCGCGGGAGGAGCCTGCTGCTCTTGGGAGCAAACCACAACGATCTCTGGTCAGCTGGGCGGCCGGGACTCACCCAGCAAACGCCCGGGGCCCATGAAGGCCTGGGGAGAGCGTCTGCTAGCGGTGTAGTCTGATGGGTCAAACCCACCCCTTTCCCCGACGCGTGCTCTCCGAGCTCTGCCGTCAGCTGCCTAGAAAGACCGGATCCGATTCCTCCCATGGCCAATCAACGTCTCATATTGTCTGTGCTCAGTGGCTTGTCTCCACAGAGTAATGGGACGGGACCGCAGCTAAGATTCCCCACCCCAGCGAGGCAGGGGACCCCGAACGGAAATGGACCCTGGGTTCTTCTGGCCCCCCCGCCCAGCCGAGAGAGCACGGCTCCCCAGATGGCCCGTTCCAGCCCCTTCCCGCCCCATGTACCTTGAAGAAGCCGATGATCCCCACGCCGTACTCCACGCAGTACTTGTCCAGGAGCTCCCGGTTCCAGGCGTCCAGATTCACATACTTGAGGATGTTCTCGTAAATGATGAGCGCGAAGCGGCCCCGGTCCTTGTCGGTCAGGGTGGGCATGTCCCCCTTGCCGGGGGCGATCTCCGTCCGGTACTTGAAGCGGCTGGATTCCAAGATGGCGATGATCTCCTGGCCCAGCTGAGAGTACAGGCTCTCCACGAACACCAGCACCAAGGGGTCTGTGCGGGAGGAGTCGGCCACCTTGAGGGCCTTCAAGGGGAGCAGGCGGGAAGGAGCGATCTTGGGTTCGTCGCAGTCCGGGCCCGGGACGTCCCCGGAGGGCTCCAGGCCCCTTTTCCACCCATATAAATAATACGCAGAGATGAAAACACTGAGCAGGCAGAAGGCAAAGAGCAGGAGCAGCACTACCTGGGGGGACACCTGTCGGAAACCCCTGCGGAGCCTCCCCAGCACCGTCATCCTGGCCTCCGAGAAGCCAGGTTAGGTTCCCCCCTCCCCCCACCCCACCCCCCCCTCGTGTTCTCAGCCCCCTTCACAGGAACACCCAGGAACACGTTAAATACTGGCAGGCTGCGTGTGCATGGGCAGGCTCTCCCGCTGGCTGTCGGGTATCCCCCCTGCCTTTTTCATGTCACCATGGCAAATCCATTCGCAGGCCCCTGGCACAGCAGAAACACCCGCGGCGTCTCGGCATCGGCCTCGCTGGCTCTCCGGGGCCGGGCGAGCGGGCGTGTCTGTCCATGGTGGCCCAGTCCTGCTGCAACTCCGCACGCTCTGGGGAGAGAGAGACAGGGCGTAAGCAAGCATGCCTGGAAAGAGCAGGATTTCACACCCCTGGAAACCCAGGCTTTCACATCCCCAGTGCAGAGGAGGCTGCCTAAAGGGTAGGCGCTGCGGGAGATGTGGGGGGGTGTCACTACAGACTCAGAGGCAACACTGCACCTGCAAGGTATGTCACCGTGGAACCCATTTAACAGATCCCTCGGTGTGCTCATTTGCATCCCAGTACCCAGAATGCTTTTCAACTGTGGGACCCGAGCAGGGAGTGAGCGAGTGTGTGTATCTCAGAGGCAGCACAGCCTAGCGGTTCGAGCAAACAATGGCGAATCAAGAATTCCCGGGGTTTCATCCCGGTTCTGCTGTCTGGCTTTGGGCACGTCACAAGTGTCCCCACCTGTATAATGGGGATACCATCAGCTACCTGCTTGCCAGCTACCGGGGAGATAAGAGGAGTGTGAGAAGCTCTTTCCAGATCCATCCCGAGTCCAAGGCAATGTAAACGTGCACATATGGCTTCATTTAACAGCTGCTCTGGCCTCGCTTTCTCAGCCTTGCCTGCCTTTTCCAAGGCCTCTGCGGGAACTCTGCTAGATCTGACCTTTCAATGGCATGACTGTCCCAAAGCACTCACAAACTACACAGGTACGGCAGGGACAGGCAGGCGGCCGGCCAACTGGCAAATGGGTGTGTTGCACAACAGGGTGGGAGGGGAAATCCAGGCCAAGGTTGCCAGGACGAACCCCGCCCTGACAGAGGCTGGTGGGATCGTTCATGTCCCGGCAGAAGACAGGGCCTTGGCATTTGAAAGTTTCCTTTTGAAAGACACTGGCAGGGACCTGTGCTCCTCAGAGGGAGGAAGCCTCAACTCAGCAGGGACGGGAAGTCTGGGCTTCCCAGACCTCCGTGCAAAGGGGAAGGGTGGGGAGGGGCACGCACTGATTAACCGAGACACTCCACCGATGCTCCCGCTGATTGTCCGAGGCCTTGAGGCGGCCAGGGCCTGCCTACGTGCTTTCAAGCCAGGCCTATGCGGGAGCGCCTGTCTCGCTTGCCGGCCCACGGCAGCGTGAGAGAGGCCGCAACGTTACCCAGGCCCTGGCAGAAATCCACAGGGCCGAGCGGCATCTGCGCTGGCTTGGCTGCAGTGTGCAGCGCACGGCACTCGCCCCCCACTCTGCTCTGCCCAGAGACAGCCCGAGGGGCCAGAGAAGGAGGTCAGAGGCTCTCCTCGGGTTTCACACCTTAGCAGGTGGACAGGGGCTATTAATAGGCTCGGGTGAGTCAGCGGCAGCACAGGGAAGGCTCTCGCAAAGGCCGAACCACCTCTGCTTCAGCGCAGATCTTTGCTCGGCGGCTGCCTGCCCCCGGCTCTCCTCTCCCCCCCTCCCTGCGCGAGCGCAATGGACAGCTGCAGCAGAGCGGCAGATGCCGCGAGTTCCCACCCTCGCACGCGGAGACCTCCAGGGAAGCCGGCCCCACTCTCTCTGCAGCCAAGCATGCAGCATGGCGGGCACCACGCCGGGCAAGCCAACGGGCGCTTTCAAAATATCAGCCGGAGAAATAACAGGATTAAGTTTGGCCGACTGGGAAGTAACACGGATTAGACGTTGCGAATTTGCTGGGTAATCCCGTCACTCCTGCCTTTGCATGGAGCCAGGCGAGCACAGACCCGCTATTGCCGTAGCCTCGGGGCCAGTCAGAGGGGAAGCTACATACAGCCCCCGTCCCGACATATTGCATGCTCCCAGGCGCTGTCTGGACTGGTTACACTGTATCAGGAGGCGTGACTGCAGCCCGCAGAGGCACAGACCAAAGCCAGCTTGTGTGAGGCCATGCACCTGCCCCATGTAGCCCAGCCCGTTGCACTGCCTCCAGCTAGTTCTGATCTAGCTATAGCACAGCTAGCTTGGATAGCGTGATACCTACTGCTCTATAAGAGCGGCCGTACTGAGTAAAACCAAAGGTTCATGTAGCCCAGTGTCCTGCGACAGTGGCCAATACCAGATGCCCCAGAGGGAGGAATCACAACAGGTAATCCTCATGAGCTCCCTCCCCTGTCTCCAGAGAAACAGAAGCTAGGGACAGCATTCCTACACATCCTGGCTAATAGCCACTGATGGAACTAACCTCCATGAATCTATCTAGCACTTTTTTGAACCCTGTTAAAGTTCTAGCTTTCACCACATCCTCTGGCAAGGAGTTCCACAGGTTGACTGTGTGCTGAGTAAAGAAAAACTTTCTTTTTTGTTTTAAACCTGCTGCCTATCACGTCCTGCGTGCAGAATACCCCCCCCCTCCATCCACCTACCAATGGGGATCCTCCCCCCACTTCTTACACATCAACCAGCAAGCAGGATCGAGTGGGACTTGCATCCCAAGGCGTCAAGACGAGAGGAGCGGGCTAAGCAGCTAAGGGTGTAAAACAAAGCAACTCCCACCCCCTCACCAGGCTTCCCAGTGTGAAAGTGGCACCCGCCTGGATTTCCCTACCCATCAGGAAGCAGGCAGCATGGATCTCAGGGAGCCAAAGCCACACCACCTTCCACGAAACCGGAGTCAGAAACTGACCAGAATGGAGCCCCAAGCGCTGATGAAATCACAGGTGCCCTGGCAATTCAGGAGAAGCCAAAATAAATGGAATTGTGTCTCCCCCTCCTCCCCCACCCCCAGCAGCTTGGCTCCAGCCGCAGAGCAGAGCGATTGGCACGAGAGCCAAGCTGGGAGAAAAGAAAAGGGAGAAGTCCCTGCCCCCTAAGCAATGAGGGACACTCCTTTGCCACCCTTCCCAATTATAACTCACTTTCGAGAGAAATGAGGCTTTCCCCATTCACATTTCCATGCCCCCTGCCTGTCCCCGCTCCGTCTCTTGGTCTCCTTGCCCAGCGCAGCCGTCATGCTGAGCATGTGGCGATCCTCAAGACTTCAGATAACTGCCGGAGTTCCTAATGCAGCTCAGAGCCGTTGGGGTGCACGACTCGGGTTCGGAGAAAGCTGGCTCTGCTCACCCAGCTCCTAAGGTCTTTCACTCCACCCCGGCCTCAGCCTATGCCCCGCCCCCCCTGCCTTTTGCCATTTCTCCCAAGCAGGGCAGAAGCCCATACATCCCTAGAGTTGAACGTTCACACTCGTGAACAGAGTTGAAGGGAGGCAGTAAGTTAGCCAGGGTGAGTCTCTGCAACAGACTCCCAGTCCAGACTGATACAGATACAGGCTAAGGCCACATCTTCACTCTAGGGAAGAACGACGCTGTCATAATCGATCTGCCGGAGTTCGATTTAGCGGGTCTAGTTAAGACCCGCTAAATCGAATTCAGAGGGTGCCCCTATCAGCAGCTGGTACTCCTGCTCCTGCGAGGAGTAAGGGAAGCCAATGGGAATGTTTGTTCCGGTTGGCCTCCCACTATGGGGGACAGTGGAGAAATTAGAATCAAGGTACCTTGACTCCAGCTACGTAATTAATGTAACTGGAGTTGCATATCTTGATTTGACCTTCCCCTGTAAAGTAGGCCTGACCTAACAGATCTAGAGAGAGGTCTGAGTCAAACACACCTGAACTGTGGGAAAATTCACAGTTAGAATATAAGAACATAAGAACGGCCGTACTGGGTCAGACCAAAGGTCCTTCTAGCCCAGTATCCTGTCTGTCGACAGTGGCCAGCACCAAGTGCCCCAGAGAGGGTGGACTGAAGACACGATCAAGCAATTTGTCTTCTGCCATCTCTCTCCAGCATCTGACAAACAGAGGCCAAGGACACCATTTTATCCCCTGGCTAATACCCCCCTTTTATGGACCTAACCTCCATGAAATTATCTAGCTTCTCTTTAAACTAGATAATAGTCCTAGCCTTCACAGCCTCCTCTGGCAAGGAGTTCCACAGGTTGACTACACGCTGTGTGAAGAAGAACTTTCTTTTATTAGTTTTAAACCTGCT